TGGGGTGGTAGAGGCCGGGTCAGGCCCGGCCCCTGGGGTGGTAGAGGCCGGGTCAGGCCCGGCGCCTGGGGTGGTAGAGGCCGGGTCAGGCCCGGAGCCTGGGGTGGTAGAGGCCGGGTCAGGCCTGGCGCCTGGGGTGGTAGAGGCCGGGTCAGGCCTGGCGCCTGGGGTGGTAGAGGCCGGGTCAGGCCTGGCGCCTGGGGTGGTAGAGGCCTACCATGAAGACTGGACTTTGCTGGAGTGGAAGGACCTGGGGGGGGAGGGGACGAGCAGAACGGCTGCCCCATGGTGTTCTTGTGCCAATTCTAGACAGCGTGACTGTTAGTGACACAGAAGATGGGAATTGAGGTCGCTTACAGCTGACCTTAAAGCGGAGACGGGTGAAGGTTCTCGACGAGGCCCTTCGGTTTTTTGGAGTGGGAGAGGACGGATGCCACGCAGCGCCGCAGGCCCTGCGGGTGGGAGGCCCGGAAGCGAGAGCCAGGCAGGGCCTGGACACAGGCCTCCCCAAATCCTGCCTCCTCCCTCATTCTGATGCTCGGTCTGGATTCTGACCCACAGAAAATCAAGTGTGGTGGTGACCACCGAGCACATGGAGCAGCAGCAGGGAAGGAACACAGCTCGCCCCGCCCGTCCTCAGTCACGGAGGCGCCCAGCGGCTGCGCCCAGCTGCGGGAGATGCTCAGGCCTCCTGTGTCCACTCTCCAGAGTCCTCGAAGAGTGCAGAGAGTCTAGGCCGGAGCCTAGACAGACAGATGGCCCTGTCAGGACCCCAGCACAATCCAGAAGTGGGCTCTGACGCTGACTCTGCCCCCGCTCACCACAGGACCCCAGTGAAGAGTCCACCGTTTCCACTCTCTTCCGGTTCAGTCCTCAGGTCTAGACTTGCTGCCCAGTTCGTGGTGGCCTGGGAGGGAGGAGGCTCAGCCCCCGGCCCCGGAGAGCTGGAGGGGCTGCTCACATGGTTAGGACACAGACTGGAGAAGCCGGGCTCTCCTTGCCCGGCTCCCTTCTTTTTGGGCACACACCATCAGCCACCATCTGCAGCTTCCCGAGTGCCGAAGCGTCAGCTCCCCTCAGCAGACTGGAGTCTGTCCACTTCCAGCCGCCGGGGTTCTAGTCCAGTGCCTGGCTGGCAGAAGGGGTGGGCAGAGCGGAGGAGCCGGTGGGACAGTGCCCGATGCTCGCTGTCCCTCACAAGCAGGTCAGACCGCAGCAAACGCTAACCAACATTTATAAGTGAAAACAGGGACCTGGAGGGCTCCTGCACCCCTGTGCTGATGTCTAGAATGTTCCGGATGCTCCTGACATCGCTGCTGGACAGGTTCCCCTTGATGGCCAGGATGGCGCTCAGGTGGTCTTTGCTGTCAAGCAGAGTGCTCTGTCAGCCAAGTGTCAGCCACGCCCCTCTCTACAGCGTTCCCAGCTCTCCAGGCTCCAGACCCACCACAGGACCCCTGCCCGAGGGGTCCCTCATCCACTGCACTGCACCCAGCACGCTGTTCTTCCAGAACCTTCCTCCTCATGCCCTCAAAGTGATCAGCTACTTCCCACCCTTTAGGTCTCACCTCTCCCCAAAGGCTTTTCCATCTTTCAAGTCAAAAACTCTAGCTATTCATGATCTGGGTTAAACTCTCCAACTTGAAACTGTCTTTATTCCTTCTCCTTACCTCTGGTCCTCAACAGACTCTAGGCTATGCCGGGGAAGACTGAGGCCTGGTCTTGTATTTCACTGTTGTACCCAAGGGCCTAGAACAGAGTCAGGGGTCTAGGAGATACTAGTTGTTGATGCGATGAGTAGAGGGATGAACAGGTAGGTGGGTAGATGTATGGAAAAGTAGACCAACGGACAAATGGATAGATAGAAGCATGGATAGATGGATGGATGGATGGATGGTTGATGAATAGGATAAGTGGGCATGGGAACAGATTGATAGATGGAGGATGGATGGATGATGGTGGATGGCTGGATAGATTTTGGATGATGGTGGATGGCTGGATAGATGATGGATGCATAGATGGATGGATGATGGATGAATAGGATAAATGGGTATGTGAATAGATGGATAGATGGAGGATGGATGGATGATGGCTGGACAGATGATGGGTGGGTGATGGGTGGATAGCTAGGTGGATGGATGGAGGATGGGTGGATGATGCGTAAGTGGATGATGGGTGGATAGTTGGATGGATGGATGGATGATAGATGGATGATGGGTGGATGGATTGATGGTTGGATGTATGGATAGGTGGATGGATGGATGATGGGTGAGTGATGGGTAGATAGATGATGGGTGGATAGGTGGATGGATGGATGGATGGATGGATGGATGGATGGATGATGGGTGGATGATGGGTGGATGGATTGATGGTTGGATGTATGGATAGGTGGATGTATGGATTGATGGTTGGATGATGGGTAGATGGATGGATGGGTGGATGGATGGATGGATGGATGGATGGATGGATGGGTAGATGGATGGATGGGTGGATGGATGGATGGATGGATGGATGGATGAGTAGATGGGTGGATGGATGATGGGTGGGTAGTTGAGTAGACAGTGTGGGTGCCTGTGTGGGTGAATGGATGAATGGACAGGCATGGATGAGGTCCACCCCAGTTGATGTCCATTCCTACTTCTCCTACTACCTCAGAGGACCTGGCTCAAGGAAAAACAACTCATCAGAGCCTCCACAGAAGGCCCAGGGCCCAGGACACAGGTCCAGTCTCAAAAAACCCATAAGCTGAAAGGTAGACACGGCCTCTCTAGTCTCTGTGCAAGCGCTCTGATCTGCGCACAGCACACTCAGCTCTCCTCAGCTGCGTCCCCCGGGACGCATCCTTTCAGGTTTCCACTGTAGAGTGGATGAGCAGTGCCACCCTTGCAGAGCTGTAGTGGGGGCCAGGGGCATGGATTGCTGGCTAAGTTCTTGGCACAGTGCCTGGCACGTGGTCGGCACCAGCACACGTCAGCCGCCCTAGGAGGTACTGGCAGCTGAGCCAGGTGGGCCTTGAGGGGCTGATGTCACTCCGGCGGGGCTGGGAAGGGCCGCGCCAAGTCCTCCTCACCTGAAGTCAGGGTAGCAGGTGGCGTAGGTGGCCACCTCGATCTTGATGGCGCTGGGGTCCTGCAGTCGGATGATCTCAGCGAGAGAGGGGAGGGCGGGGTGTAGCCAGGTTGCGGGGGACCCCTGTAGGCATGGGGCTGGTTGAGAAGGGCTGCCTCTGCTCCTGCGGACGCTCGGGGGGTGGGGAGGGGACTCAGGGAGGTCTGGAGCGGCCAGGGGCTTGGCGAGCAGCAGCAGCAAACCATCCCAAGGGCCCCCGGGGGCTGGGTGGGCTCACATTGTGCGTGCAGAAGTGCTGGATGGCGTTGGCGTTGGCCAGGATGTGTCTGGCCAGCTGCTGCTGCTGCTCTGCGGTCTTGAGCACCAGGCGCCGCTTGCTGAGGCGGATGATGTATTCCTTCACCAGGTTTAAGTGCACGGCCCCCATGAGCTCCTGGGTGGGGAGCAGGGGTGGGGTGAGCCAGCCGCTCTCCATGCCCCGTGCCCGGGAGTCCGGAGTCACCTCGGTGGTGGCAGCCAGGTGCAGAGGCAGGAACGGGTGGGGCGGCCCCATGCCAGCACAAGTATCCGCGCTGCTGCCACCCACAGGCCCCCCCCTCCAGTCCCCTCACCTCCCGGAAACAGGCGTGCAGTTCCAAGAACTCGGGCAGCCTCTGGGACACCAGGGCCAGGATCTCATCCAGGGTCTCTGCAGCTGCCGCCCAGCGGGTCTGCGTGAACCTCTTAAAGAGCGGCTGAGGCAGGACGGGCGGGTCAGGAAGGCAGACACCTCACAGGTGCCTCACACACACAAGTGCCTGCGGGCTTAGGACTCCCCCAGAAACCGGATGGAGCCCAAGGCCCGGCTCACAGACAGGAAGTGGAAGCAGGGTCTGTGCACTCTTCTCCAAGGTCACGGGCCGTGGGGCCTGGCGGCCACGGCAGCCGTCTACAGGCCTCGGGCCTTTCCCACCACCTCCCCCTTAAACAAATAAATTCCTACATAAACAAGGCCTTGCGCCTGGCTGGGCACGGAGCCCGGAGAATGTCACCCGCGGTCACTGCTTGGGCCTTTAATATCCCGGCTGGCCCTGGCCTCCTGTCCCGGACACTGGCAGGAAACCCTGCGTCTGCCTTTCTGTGGACCCCGGGCCTCCTCTCTGCAGAGTTCTTGGCTCCCAGGACACACAGCCAGCAGCCAAAGGCCCTGAGCACTGAGGGCAGTGGGTGGGGACGGGGCACTGAGACCCCTCCAGGCCAAGCGAACCACAAGAGTGGGTGGAGGGCGTGGTAAAGAGCCCTGCGGAGACCACTGCCCACGCGCCCGGCTCACCCACACTGCCCACGCGCCCGGCTCACCCACACTGCCCACGCGCCCGGCTCACCCACACTGCCCACGCGCCCGGCTCACCCACACTGCCCACGCGCCCTAGCACCACCACCCCTGACCACCAGTGCCTCCCACAGGGCCAGGGCAGCTCTGGCCACCTAGGGACTTCTGCCATTCCTGAGCCCTCCAGGGGGCATCGCTCCTGGGCCTCCCCCGCCTGGGCCTCCCTCTTGTGCCAAGCAGAGGATGAGAGGCTCTGCTACCTTCAGGTCCGTGAACAGGCTCTGGAGCAGGGTGTGGAAGCCACGAGCCTTGAGCTCAGTTAGGGGGGTCAGCAGGTGGCCTAGGAGATTCTGTGGTATCTGCTGGTTCTGCTCCATGGATTCCATGGACGTCCTGTGCAGTGGGGACAGGAAGGTCAGAGCAGGCTGCTCTGCAGCAAGCCGGCGTAACCTTCCTGCCTGCAAGGATCCCCCATTCCCTATGGGATCAAGGCCAGTGCTCCAGCACCCGCCCGACACAAGCACATGCCCGCAGCAGCACCCGCGGCCGGCGCTCCACCCCTCGGTGGCCTTGTACATCCCCTCGCTGGGAGTAACCCGCAGATGGCTGGCCACGTGGGCTCCTCCAGGCGGTACAAACCACTCCGGGGCAGATCCTGCTCGCTTCAATTTCGTGTCTTTGCGAAAGCCTCCCTTCCTCCCCTCCCTCCCCGTCTCTCCCCAGGCAAGCCCCCCCAGCCCCTCACCGGAAAGACAGGCAGTTGTTGATGTTGGCCATGACATTGGCCCTGTAGTGTCTCAGCTGTCTGCCTCGCTCCAGAAACTCATCAAAGGCACACTGGTAGCTGGCAAAACCAGAAGGGATACTTGAGGACGCGCGCTCGGGGCCTCTGGATGCTCCATCTGCTTGTCTCTCCGTGGCCTGGGGAAGGCCCCTAGAGACCGCGCCACTGGCCGCACAAGCTAAGGCCTCTAAGGAAGGTGCTGTCCAACTCTGGGGTCCCCCCCATCTCCTCAGGAAGTGCTGTAGGTGGCTCCAGAGCTGGGAACAATCAGTTAATGCTGGGTTGGAAAGGGAGGTGGCAGGGCTCCAGTCCCTGGGGGACTTCCTCTCTGAAGCAGGCTGCTCCTGGGTGCAGAGCTTTGTGGATGGGGCGGGGTGGAGGCCGAGGCCTCGTGCTCACTCCCACAGTGGGAGGCCACCACGCCCTGTGACAGGAGCAGCGGGGAGGGGCGGGGACTGGTGGCACTGAATGGCAGCGAAGGTCAGGGCTGATGGTACTGGAATCTCGACCCTGCTTAAGACTAAGGGAGGGCCATGAGTACGGAGGTCCCGCAGGGCCCTCCTGAGCCCCACGGACACACGCACCTCCTCAGGAGCCCCCTGAGCCCCACGGACACACGCACCTCCTCAGGAGCTCAAGCAGCTCCCCCAGCAGCATGTGGGATATCTGCGTGGCCAGGGCGGGGGTGATGGACCCGGCCTTGGTCTGACCTTGGGAGATGATCTGTGGGGGGAGAGGGGGAGTCAAGCAGACGCCGGCCTGGGCTTTGGCCTGGCAAGGAGGGAGCGCTCCCCGGGGCATGAGTGGACACGGACACATCCTGGGGCGTGAGTGGGCACAGGCTCCACCTGGGCATGCACAGCCATCCCCGCGTACCCTGCACCTGAGTGGGCAGTTCACGGCACCTGCATGATATCTATGGCCAGCTCGCTGTGGCAGTGGCCATCCAGCCTCTGGGGGGCCACATCTTGGGCCCAGCGCTGGGACTCCAGGTTCAAGGCTCGGGTCATCAGCTCTCTCATGTTGGCCTGGAGGGGGAAGGGCAATCATCATGCCACAGGCCTGCCGCCCTGCTCACCTGGAAGTACCTGGCCGTGCTCCCTGCTGGGGCCGGGCCCTCCCCAGCCCTGCCCCCAGCGCAGGACTCACCACCTCATTGGACAGGAACGTGTTCTCCAACAATCTGACCTGCTGGGTGCTTAGGAGGCCTCCCAGACCCACGCCTTGCAGCTCCCCCGCCAGCTTGGGGCTGTTGAGGATTTCACTGTGGGAAAGAAGTCGGGAGGGGGGGACAGGGCTGACAGGAGGGCTGTGTGTCTCAGCAGGAGACGCAGACCCCCACACTCTTAGCCTCTCCCCTCCCTGCTCCCGTGTCCAAGGATGGGCCCTCAGCTACAGGGTGGATTTAAGGCCCAAAACCTGTGATCAGTGCGTCCTTTCTCACTCCACCCTCCACGCCTGCTCTGTAAGACCCTCAAATCCATCCATCTAGAGGCTGCCCTGGCCTGTGTCCTACCAGCCCTTCCCCCCCCCACCTGGCCCTCTGCGGAACCCCCCTCCCGGCCTCCCTGCTGCCAGCCTCCACCAACTGTACCCCCATCACCCACAGCCTCCTTTCCAGACTGATCCCACAAAGACTGCTCACAAGGACAAAGCCAAACTCCTGACCCCCGAGCCCATCCCACTGCTCCCCAGAGCGGACGCTGAGGGGAAGACCCCGGGAAGGACTGGCGTGGAGCGGCTGGCCCCCTGGGGCACTGTGGTACTTCTACCGGGTGCTGGGCCTCCCAGGAGACCTGCCCAGTCCTGGCATCTTAAAGGTTCTTTGTCTGCCTGGAGGCTTCAGAATGGCCTCTCCGTACCCCTCACCCAGGCTCCGTGAAGTGGTCCCTCTGCTGCCCACACTTTGGGCCACATGGACCCCAATAATGTCTCCTTAACCCGGTGCCCTGGTTGGCTTAGTGTCCCTCTTGGCTCTGTCACTGGGGCTGGGCCCAGCCCACACATGGCAGGGCTAGGCTGGCCCCAGCATTTCCGGGTGAGTCAGAAGCCGGCAGGAACTGGACAAGGATCTGGATAAGGATCTGGCAGCTCCAGGCCCTGTGCCTGTTTCCCTTCGCCCCGCTGGCCCCTCACCTACCCCTACCCCGCAGCACCCTTTCCCTGGCTCTTCTACCAGAGCCTGGCCCTCCCTACCAGCAGAGCCCATGGCCACCAGAAGGTCCCGAAGACCCGCAGACACTGCCCCTGTCACTTCCGCCTTCCTTCCTTCCTTCCACTTGAAACTTAGGTCAGGGTGGGGAGACAGCAGGGGCTGAGCACCTGCATGGCCTGGACAGTTCCACCTGCAACTCAAGCCCCTCCCCCCAAGCTTGAGTGAATGGAATTGGAGCCAATCAGAGGATGGGGCTAAAGCCGCTGGGTACCAGCTGCCTCTCCTGCCACAGAGGCTCTCAGCGGAGGAGCTCCTGCTCTTGGCACGCAGGCCCTGCATGGCGCTCACCACAGGCGACCCTGCACAGCAGGCCTGTCCCAAGAAGATGCCTGACCCCTCTCAACCCCTGCTGACCCCACTCAACCCCGGCTGACTCCTCGCGACCCCTGCCTGTCCTGCTACCGGCGGATGCCCTGACAGCAGCCCCACACGTGGCATGCCACGCCCCGAAGCTGCTCCTGTCCCACAGTGAAGCCCAGCGCACCCTGCCTGCCATCCCCTGCGACTCCACATCCATTTAACCAGGCATCTGGCGAGGGTGGGACGCACACGCGCGCGCACACACGCTCAGGCCTGGCCTCCTCTCAGAGACCCTGGTGTGCCACACCCTCTCCCAGGCTTCCTCCCTCTTCTGTCCTGGACCTCGGAAGGGACGCCAGGGGCTCTGTCCTCCTGCCCAGGCCTGGCTCCTTTGAGTCCAGTCCTAAGCGCCCTCGGCCGTGCGCTCGATGCCCCCCCCGCCCGCCCCCAGCACCCCGCCGGCGCCGCCCTCACTTGGGGTACAGGTTCTGCGCCCAGAGCAGCAGCAGGTAGGTGTCACGCTCGCACAGCTCGAACTGCGCCAGGGCGCCCGCGTGCGCCGCGAAGAGCTGGTGGTAGCTGCGGGCGTAGGTGGCCACCACGTCGAACTCGGCGGGGAAGAGCGGCTTGAGCCGCTCCACCACGGCGCCCAGGTCCTCCTTCATGGTGCGGCCCATGCGCAGGAAGGCGCTCTCGGCCTCCGAGCGGCCCGCGGCGCCCGCGGCCGGCCGCGCC